TTGTGGAGTGTCTGCTGGCACATTTGGTCCACGAGCAGAGTTTTTAATTGTTCACTGTTGCTTTGTGGGTGGATTATTAGTTGTTTTGTTTGTTTGTTGACTCTTGGTTGATGGCATGTACCCCTTAGCTAATGAACCCTAACTACAGTCAGCTGTCAAAAGTCTGTCAAAAGCAGGAGAACATAAAATCCCACACAACCCCTTCCCAAATTGTCACGAGCCTGCTTAACCTCAACCTGGCAACAAGCAGTGAATAATTGGCCCCTGGCTTCGGGACACAGGCACTAAGACCATCAGAAGGGAAATTGGAAAGGAAACCATTCTCTCTTGGTGAAATAGTGTTCGGCGAAGATGGTGATTTCAGATGGAAGGACCGAGTCACAGGAACTTATTAACAAAAATACGGCTGACATTTCAAAGCACACTGAACTGGCCAAATCAGTCCCTCGCCACGAATCATCGGAGGCGAGGAGAAATGGCTGCATCTGGCTTCCCCATAGGTTAATGCGGGTGTGCCACAGGAATAAGTGGGGTGTCCCACATATGCACAATCCCATGAAAATAAATGTCAAGATCTAAAAATGGGTGAATAGCGTTGGGCAATTCACACATAGTAAACTAGTACGGATGATGAGAAGTGCTACTAGGTAAAGTAACAAACTGGATAGTCCATCAAAATGTACAATTCTTTCCTACATTATACCCAAAAAGGGGCAAAAGGACAAGGGCCATGGCTTATGTAAGGGGCCTTCAGCAAAAGCATGGGGAAAAATCCATTATATATATGTTTTTTTCTTTTAAGTGTGAGAACTGTATTATTGCTATTCAGAATACATTGAAAGAGGAAAAATATCACAGGAAATTTCTGATATAAGGAATTGACACGGGTTAAATCACAGTATCATGATGTGATTCATATATTGTTCCAGTAGTACTTCAATTATTTCATACAGTTTTTTAAGTCCTCCATATGTCGTATAACAACAACACGAGAAAAAGAAGTTATAACTTCTAGTACTACTTGAGTACAATGAAACACTTGGAACTAGCTCTCCAAATTCAACATTTTAGGACGCTGGCTTCATGTCCGGTCATTTGCCTGTTCCTGATGCTAAAGTTGCTGTGCTCCCCTAAGTTGGGTGAGACGTGTCTGGGGTCTGAGAAGCTGGGGAGCACCTGCCTGGGCTCCAACAGTTGGCATCTGTATGTCAAGTAAGGAGACTGAGGAATTGGAAGCAGAACTGGCCAAAAAAACCCCAAACAGCCCAAACATAGAAGCACCGCGTGGTGCCTGGCCACTATTACTGAACTTTGGATCAGGGACGACTCAGTAGATGAGTCCTAATCAAAAGGAGGTTAAGGGTGAGTGGGAGAGATTGTGGAACAGAATTCAAAAGTCCAGAAATTGGAGGAACTCCCAAATCTCTAGTCTTGGGGAAAAAACAACAACCCAAAATACAACATTCTTGAAGCCTTGAGCTGCAATTATCCCCTGCAGTCATCTTTCAAGGAAACAGCAGTTAAATTGAAGACGTTAAAAAGTCCACCTTGGAGACTGCCTCTCGTTAAAGAGCTGTCTGTGTGGGACCAGCTTGTGGCCGCAGCCCTGGAGCAGAGATGACAGGGTTAGAGGGAATCTCTTCGGACCATGGTGGAGTCACAGTCCGCTCAGCGAGCTGGCGCCTAGTGATGCGCTATGCAGAAGGTAACCCCACCGCCCTTGAGCTGCACATCCTAATTGTTGGATGGGTCTATGCTCTCTGTGTAGGAGCCCTAGTGGCGTAGTGGGTTATGTGCTGGGCTGCTCACCACAAGGTTAGCAGTTCAAAACCACCAGCTGCTCCATGGGAAAAGGATGAGGCTTTCTACTCCCATACAGATTTAGTCTGGGAAACCCACAGGGGCAGGTCTGCTCTGCACAGGAGTCAGAATCGACTTGATGGCAATGAGTTTGGTTTTGGGGGTGTGTGTGCTTTCACCACAAATGTTAAGACAAAAACCCTCACTTTTTTTCATCTCCAAACGTGTAGAGCCGTGACTGTATTGGCTTTCCTATTTTAGTAAGGGAGAGTAGAGTTGATCATGACTGTGGATTTACACTCCCTCTTCCTTTTGGTCCTAGAGTAAAAGTCTGAGTAGCCGTATATTAAACCGCCATTCTGTGCACAGTGCAGTGAGGGTGCAAAGATGGATCACAGTGGCAGGGGCCCTGGCTGAGAGGCCTGACAGCTGACAGTAGGGAAACAGGAGCCAAACCCAAGGCTTTCTGGTAGCAAAGTCCCCTCTTGCCAAGCGGTTGGCCAGGCAAGCCTTCCAGGTAGGAGGCAGGGCAGACACTGAGCCTGGCACTTTCCAAAAGTGTCTCCTTTGCTTTCAGTTCTCAGAAGGCCCCTTGTTGGACGGACTGTACTGGAAGATGCAGCCCAGCAACACAGCGGAAGCTGACAACCGAAGCTTCATTTACTACGAGAACCTGCTGCTAGGGGTACCGCGCTTACGGCAACTCAAAGTCCGAAACGGGTCCTGTTCCATCCCGCAGGACTTGCGGGATGAGATTAAAGAGTGCTATGATGTCTACTCTGTCAGTAGTGAAGACAGGGCTCCTTTTGGGCCTCGAAATGGAACCGCGTAAGTGTCTGGGGCCCGTGACTGCCTTTCTGCTCATTCTCTGGTGCCTTCATCACACTAGCTCCTCCAGTGACTCTTCGGTGCTTAGGTTTCAGGGTTTGGCCAAGTAGGCCTCTGGCTTCTCTTGTTCTCTCTACTCTTTACCCATTTCCACTCCTGACTGCAGACTTCACCAAAGGCTAACTCCTGGGCCCTGTGTCTCATAAAAAGAAATTATCTAGAGATCCCTCAAGATGTTTGAACCCTATTGTTATAGACCCAGGAACATTTTCCTCCGGGTCGGAGGTCGAGCAGGGCAGAAAGAGCTGAACTGAGCGGCAATCAGAGAAGTCAGTTAGGACCCTGAACCAGAGGGAACGTGGCTGTGGAGACTTCCAATCTCTTCCTGTGGTGGCCGTCCTTGTTAGATGCTGTCAGGCCCCCTCTGGCTCATCGCAACCCTGTGTGCAACCATCAGAAGGAAACGCTCCCAGCCCCGCAGCTTCCTCACAATAGTTGTTAGGTTGAGGCCCACGGTTGCAGCCACTGGCTCAACCCGTCTCATTGAGGGGCTTGCTCGTGTTTTCCACTGACCCTGGGACTGGTCTCTTGATAGCATGTCCAAAGTGAAGGAGATGGACATTGTCTCAACACGATCTTGTCTGAGGCCCCCTGCAAGACTGATTTATCTGTGCGCCCGCAAGCCATGGCGCTTTCCGTGCTCCGCCCCAGCGCGTTCTGCAAATGCATCCACGCCTCTCTCATGGTCCTGGCTTGTGGTCCAGCTTCCACATGCATAGGAGGTGATTGGCGGTGCCATGGCTTGCGCAAGGCGCGCTCCGGGCCTCTGCATGCCAGCTTTGCTCTAGCACAGTAAGATCAAACCTAGGGAACAGAGCCCAGCTCCCCTGCCCTTTATCCCCTCAGGAAGCAGACCTGGGCAAAGGTCAGGTTCACCGGGGCGGCTGCAGGAACCTTCTCGCTGTGGAAATCATGCAGTTTTGTGGACTTCGAGGAACCAGAGGGAGGACAAGGTGGAAGGACCAAGGGCTGGAGAAATACTGAGTCACAGTAGGGGAGGAGGGCTGAAGGGGGTCGAGGTTCAAGGGTCCTCCCTTGCCCTGGTAAGGAGGTTTCAGGCCACAGAGAGACCTCCTTCTGGAGGGGCCTCAGCTAGGATGCAGATACGCAGAGGAAGGACGGTTGCGGGAGGGGGTGTGGCTGTGCACCCAGTCCTGTGGGGAGGGTAACTTTGCCCTCGAGGCCTCCCAGGCCAAGCCTTTGTCATCCCCTGTGGTCACCTGTAGTAAGAGCTCTGGTAGCACAGTGGTTATGCGATAGCTGCTACAGTCTTAGCAACCCATAGGGGAAGTTCTACTCTCTCCTACAACCTTGACACGGATCAGCCCACTCAAGGGCAGTGAATTTGCTTGGGTTTTTTTGTTTTGTTTTGTTTTTCTGAAAAAGTAAAAAATTGCACATGGGTTTTTAGCCAGGAGCAGACGGCTCAGCAACTAGGGCATAGTTTGGTTCGAGGATTTTCTACTAGCTCTTCCTACTGAAGAGGTCGTTCAGGATGCAGTTGTTCACAGTGTACAATAAGCTTGCATGGCAGTTTCTCTGTCCGGTTGAATCGCAGCCTTCCTGAAGGTGTGTTTATGATTGGAGTATGCATTTGTACGTGTGCACATTTGCAGGGTTGTTGGTGTGCGTGTTTATGTGCACACATGCGTAACCGTACTTCAGATCCTATCTAGTAAGGGAGGACACTCATTCTTTTTAGAATTACCGTCGTTTTGATAAAGAAACTGAAGCCCCTCTTGGGCTCTCTTAAGGAGCATGTCTGAGGCTTGCAGCTTGCTTCAAGGAGCCCTGTGTTGTCGCTGGTGAGCGTTGAGCAAGGTTGGCGGTGCGAGCTCACCCACGGCTCTACTGAAGGAGGAGCTGTCTGCTCTTGCGGAGACTGATGCCTCCGAAAACCTACGCAGGGTTGCTTACAGTCGGAATTGACTCCTTCCGTGGCAGAGGGTTTGGTTTGGGGGCTTTTAGAGGATGGCTGCCCCAAGGTGAGTGTTTGTGGTCCAGAACTGCCCTCAAAGTTTGCAGGCCCGGAGTACGGAAGAAGAGAGTCCATGCAAGAGCTCATTTACCCCTCACCCCACAACTGTGGATGGGGTATTCTCTCCAGTTGTAGAACAAAGAGATTGAAGCTCACGTGGCCACGCTGTGGGACCTACCCGCTTCCGTGACTCCACAGTCCACTATTTCTTCGATACCATATTGGCGTGGTCCTGATGAGTTGGGCTGCTAACCTTGAGGTTAGTAGTTTGAAACCACCAGCCGTTGTGCAGGGACAAGATGAGGCATTCTACTCCCGTAAAGAGTTCTAGTCTCGGAAACCCACAAGGGCAGTTCTACCCTGTCCCATAGGGTCAGAATCGACTCAACGGCAGTGAGCTCTTAGGTCTGCCATGTCGATCAAGTGGTTTGAGGCTCCCAGCTCCCCCCTAGAAAGAACACCAATTTCTGGACGGCAGGCACCCTAGGGCCACCCCAGATGCAGTGATTCACTAAAATACTAGTCACACGTCCCAGAGTCCTACACCCAGCTGAGATCTGCTGCAGCGAAAGGATACAAAACACAGTGGCCAAGGAGAAAGGCTGACACTCATTTCCAAGGGCCCTTCCCAGTGGCTCAGGCACCAAGCCCGACGCTATTGAGTCAATGCCAACTCCTACCTAGTGACCCTAGAGGACAGGGTAGACGAGTAGACGTCTCCTCGGCTCCTCGTGGTTCCGAGAATATAAATCTCTACGGGAGCAGACAGCCCTCTACTTGTCCTCATTGACCTCCCAGGGGCGGAGGGGGAAAGTGTGTCAAGGTTCAAATGCCTCCTTCCCCTGATTAGAAGGCTCCAGCCCCAGGGACCACGAAGGCCTCCCCCCTGCCATAAAGAGGCCTCCAACTGCTAGCGCCCCTGTGAGGAACACACAGGGGCAACAAGTATGGCCAGTTTGGGCGGGGGGGGCGCCCGGAGAGGGTGTTGGGTTGATGGGGGTCCCCAACACTCGAACAGGTCCTCAGGAGCAACTTTGGGATTGTGGAAAATATGAAAGACAGACAGACAGTGGGGCACAAGGGCTCCTCCTCCCATGTCAGGACTGAGAGACGGAACGCATTTTCCAATGGGGATCTCTAATGGGGCTTACAGATCTCTCAAAAGGCATACTCATCATACAGCCAACATATAACACCATCAATAAGTAATATCATACGTGGGTAACAGACAGGAAATAAAGTGAGTCACCGTTTTGACCCAGTGCTAGTTGACCCCCCCATACCCCTCTGAGCCCCCAGGAGTTTGCTACATTTTACAGTTGGTTGGGCTATAGAACCTGATTGCTCTTATCTAGAGATAACTTCCAGGCACAGAGAACAGCCAAATGCAAACATGTTTCGTCTTATATGGTAACTCCTTTATGACAGTTCCTTTATGGGGGGTAATTGGACACACTATATCCTGTTGTGAGAATGTATATTTAAGATTTTTTTATATCGCATAACCTTGAGGGTCTTCCCCCACCGGAGTTGGCTTTCCACACCTGCGTAGAGGATTTAGCTGTGTAACATTCTCACATTCTCATCCCTCAGTTTACCACAGGGGAGGGGTATGCCTGAGCACCCAGTCTTGTGTGTGTGTGTATGTGTGTATGGGGGGGTAGCTTTGCCCATGAGTCCTGACAGGTAGAAATCTGTAATCACCTGTTGTCACCTGTAGGGTCACTGTGTGTCAGAATGATGACTACGGCAGTGAGTTTGTTATTTTGGTTGGTTGGTTTTTCACGTCTGGGGGTGGGCAAAAGGCACTCTGGATGTTTAGCTAGGAGCAGGCTGCTTGGAGTCATGTGGGCATTTCTTGATTCGGAAAATGGTTAGTAGCCCAGTGATCCCCCACACACACCCAGGGCTTGATGGAGTCACCGGCAGATACATAAAGTCCTACGGCAACACGTTAGGGCAACTCGTATGAGGAGTTGTTCTCGACTAAGGCAGCTCCTTAGAGACTTGTGCCATGTGATTTCTTTTGATTGAAGGCCAGACTCCGAAGGAAAACAGGTGTCCAGCATAAATCATACTGTGTATACAGATTGTTTACCTGAATGGGCCACTCTTATCAATTCCAAAATTCAAACACAACTCACTGCCATAGAATGAGTGATGCCCACTTGCAGCAGCCCTGGAGGACAGGGTAGAACTGCCCCGGTGAGTTTCAGAGACTTTAATGGTGTATGGGAGTCGACAGCCCCATCTTCTTCCATTAGAGCCGCTGGTGGTTTCGTACTGTGGACCTCGTGGACCCCAGCCCAGTGCACAGCCACCATGCCACCAGGGCTCCTCCGATCAGTCAAGGAGAGCTCTGTGTCAGTGTCACCTGAAATGCAGGTATTTTATTCCGATCGTCTCAGCCAATTTACTCCAAGTCAGAAGAAGAAGGAGCAGTTTTTATTTAGAAGGTGCACAAGCATGGACATTACGGTAGTGTAAAACACCCTCTTTGGGGTGTCCTGTTTGAAATCGCAAACCATAGAGCTTGTATGCCTTTGACTTTGGAATTCGCACTCTGGAGAGTCACACATAGTTACTCACGCTTCTGGGTAACTATGGGAAACAACTGTTGACCATGCGCAAGCAAACAGAACAGTAAGCTTTGCTAAGTCTCAGGCCAATCTCAGGAGGTCTTTGTTGGCTGGCTAGAAAGCAAGGCATAGGTTTTATCACTAAACAGGTAAACAGCAGGGGCTCTCAACTTTCTCGGGAAGGGACATCCATATGCCACCTCTCTGCTTTGGGCCAATTTAGCGAGTTATAAGAATTCCAGAGAGATAGCATTAATTAAAGAACTTTAGGCTAACTGCAATTCTAAAGGGTTTGTTTTGTCTATATATTAAGTAAAATGACGTGGGTTACATCACTGTAGAATTGTTTCTCTGCCCGGTTCCCAGATGCCAGACCAAGTCCGGTCTGGCAAGCAGGCCTTTTTAAGAGCAGTCATCTGAGGTCAGCTGCGTCATTTCACTTTTTGCACCTGCACCTGTTGCTCTTCGTCGCTCCAGGCCTTCCTGTGGCCAGAGTATTCCTATTGTACAAACTTTCCTCTGACTTCACAAGAAGGGAAAGAAAACCCAACTTCATCGTAGCCCAAGTCCAATCAGTTCCTGTGCTGTAGAAGCCAGACCTGCCTCTACTCTCCAACCTGCCTCACCAATTCTCATGCCAGCCATCCCTCCCCTGGCACTCGCTACTCCCCTGCTGGGTTCATCCCCTGCAGTGGCCACGCGGAACTCACAGCAATACTCGTGAGGTCGAGCCTTAAAGAAGGGAAGCTAACAGGTTACGATTCAGAATAAAACATGGTCAGGACACAATTCTATCGGGTTAGCTTCCTCTCAGTCAGGACCCTGGCCACTGCCCTGCTTGGACAGTGTTCCAAATCTCTTTCAGTGCTGTAGATAAATGCTCAAGGGGCATGCCACTCCGCCCTAAGCCTCGGCCTGAAGGTGCTTGTTAGAATGGGAATAAAAGGAAAGAAGAGCCAGAGCATGGGTTTTAAGGAACCTGCCTGGGTGTTTAGTTTGGAAAGACAGTAAAGGGGACAGGACGAAGGAAGATGGGAAAACAGAGTGAAGAGAGAAGAGCGGAAAGTAAGAAGGGGGAGAGCTAGGAAGAGGAAGAGACAGAGTGAGTGGCCACATGAGAAGGTGAAGAAGTCAGAGAGAGATAAGGTGAGGAATCCCATGTTGATAAACTTTGGGGGCAGAAATAAATTATTATGTCTAAACAGAGCCCATGCGTCCTCTCATTGGCTGTGGCACTGAGTGAGGGGAGAAGGTTTCTGTGAGACCTCTTGAGAAGACCAAGTGACACTTTACACTTAGTGGGGACAGTACAGGGGTTAGAGATACTGTCTATGGCCCAGAACCTTAGTTTTACTGCTGGACCCTTTAATACTCAGCAAATCTAGCACCCCTAATTAAGTGCATGGGGGAATGCTACTCCCATAAGCAAGCTTCTTGTTGGAAGATACTCAGCTGTATTCACTCACTCATTCATTCATTCAGAGCATGCAGCTTCATGCTCTGGTCCTTGGTTCTGCTGCTGTCCCCCTGCCACTCTCTGGTGTCACATTGCCTGACTCCTGGATTGAGAAGGTTCCATGCACAGGGATTTCAGGATCACAGACAGAGTCTGCTACCTGCTCTTCTTTCTTGGTGGTAGTAAGATTTCTCTATTCTGGATCCTAAAGTGGCTCATTTTTATACCCAATGGTATGGCAGAATTGACCAAGCCCATGTTGTCATCCCAAGATGAACCACGATGAACTCTGTTAACATTCACAAACATCTGGATCATAATCCTACCAGCCTCTTTGCCCCGCCTTCTCTTAGCCTGTAGAAATACACCCAGTCTGCAGGGTCCACCTAGTCAATTAGAGGAGTTAGAAAGGCGATTGCTAAAAACAACCATATCAACCTGTTTTGTGCCTTCCAGACCATTTCCCATTGGGGACCCCTTCACACCTGTCTGAAATCTGATTCAGGTCTGCCTGTCAGCATCAATGGAAGTGAAATTGTGCTCGCTGGCCCTGAGTTGCTCAGATGTGATAATGCCCTTTTATCAACCTGTGCAAGCCCACCAGGTCCAATCCAATTTCCTCCCAAAGCCTCCCAGTGCCACGCCCTGGAGACCAACCTCTGCCATCCATAATGAGGATGCTTTTTCTCTGATCTGCCGTAGCAGTTTCTCTTTACTTCTTTTCTTTTTATTATTATTTCACTTCTTTTCTTGTTTGTGTCATCTTGTATTTAAATTGCTTAATTATAACTTTTCTCCCACTGTTATAAAAGGGGTGGGGGTCGGGTGGAATTGAATCGAATTGGATTCAATCCTCATGAGTACCAAAGAATCATCTGGTCTCAAAGAAATCCTCTGTTGATATTAGTGGATGGGATCCCCGAGCTTTATGTGGATTTTTATTTCGTTCAGTTGCAGACAGTGGAGCTTGGTCAGCTTGCCCTTCTTTGGGCTGCATTTTTCTTGGAGCGTTTAGTCTTCTGAGTAGAGGGCAGCTATGTAGACTGAGAGCTGAGGGCACGGGCTTCAGAGGCAGACATTGCTGGTTCCCATTGCCCACTCTGCCCTTAGAGTCTTTGGGACCCAGTACACTGCATGAAGCCTCAGGGCCCTCCTTCCTACAATGAGTCTAAGTCACTGTATCCAAGAAGTAAATGAGACAGCACTTAGAATGCCGTGGCATGCTCACCTTGACAAAAAACGATAGCTCTTTATGACTCACTTACCACTGCACCAGGGACCCACTGCCTTTGAAGTGGCTGTTACCTCTGTTTCCGTGGATTCTCACTTGCTTATTTTGTTTTGGTTCTTAATTAGTTGGATCTACACAAGTGAAAAAGACTTGAATGGGAGTAGCCACTGGGGAATGATTGCAACTTACAGTGGAGCTGGCTACTACCTGGATTTGTCCCGAACAAGAGAGGAGACAGCTGCCCAGATTGCTAACCTCAAGAAAAATGGCTGGCTGGACCGAGGAACCAGGGCAGCGTTTCTTGATTTTTCTGTGTACAACGCCAATGTTAACCTGTTCTGTGTGGTCAGGTATGTGCTGAGGGTACAAGCCCTCCCATTCTGTGCAGTTTTATGAGCATCCTGCCCTGCAGACAGGCCAGGGAGCCTTTGCCATTGATTGGTTAGGTGAGGATGCTGGTAGCAGGCCAGAAAACTGAAGCCTAATAGGTATGATCTTTGGGGTAGGGAGTAGTTCAGATTCTAGAATATTCTGAGTTGGAAGGAACTTCCAATCTATTCCAAGTTTTTCTACCCTGTATCCTTAGCCATCCTGAGGAGGATCGGTGCTACCTGCTCCTTCACTAAGTGCCTCAACCGTCACATCTTGCCTCATTTTACGCTCTTGGATGACGCCCAGGTTATTAGGACAGAACGTACTCACAGATAGTCACAGGACGTGCCCGATGTTTGGTGGGATAGCCAGGTCAGGTACTTGCTTGTGCTTAAGACTCACTCCAGGCCCATAGGGTTCCTTCCACTTCTGTGGTAGGGCATGGGAACGAAGATGGAGATTTGGACGGATCGTGAGCAGAATCTGTGCACTATCTTGGGACTACATTTCTCTGAAACCCTTGCTATCCCCAGCGGAAGTCCTCAACGGTCTCCGCTGTGGGGAAGTGTTAAAAGCCTGTTCAGCCAGTGGCAGACTGGCAGGCGCATCAGGTGGCTTTTCTCTTGGGAGACTCACGATAAAATTCCCTGTGGGAAAAACCCTCTCAAAGTAAATATTTTGGGAAGGCGAGAGCCAGAAAGTCTGTTAACACTTCCCTATGATGCTCCCTTGGCAGCCACTCCGTGGGAGACAGTGAGGAAACAAACAAACCCGCTCCTCTGGGACCTCTCCTTGGTTTGTTCGAACATTTAAGGGGCACTTAAGATGTGCCAGGTCCGATTCTAGGCTTTTAGGCGACAACAGTGGTCAGAACAAAGAGCTCTGCCTTTGAAGCGCTGGCATTGTACCCGGAGGAACGGGACTATAAAGAATATGTAAAACAAATAAATCTATCTTACCTTAGAAAGTAGCAAGGCAATCCCTAGATGG